ATTTATTTACAATGGAAATGATTAATAGATTGTTTGTTATAATTACTATTGTTTGAAATTGTTTAATAAAAACTTTTATAACTTCATACTCAAATGTTCTTTATCATATTTCATTCTATGAGGTATTTGAATATCTTGATGATTGTAAAATATTTAAAGTATTTTCAAATCTTAATCATTTAAAATTACATAGTGAACATTTTGTAAAATAACTTTTGATACACGAGAACATAATCAAAATGGAACATTAGAATCAGTCGAGTGAGCTCCATTATATGCAGAGCTTTCGAGTCGATACAAAACACACAAAGAAAGTAAGGTTAAGTAACTGAAATAACTGTTTTCTCGTCATTTTCAATAAACTAATTTATCTTCTTTATCTCGTTTTCTCTGATTAACAATCGATATAGGATGAATGGTGAAGTTTATCAATTAATTTTTCCTATTAAATGTTTAGCAGAAGAATTCTTCACATCTGTTCGATTGGCAATTGCTATCGATGAACAATTCAGTACTATTGAATATTTTCTTATTAATAATAATTGTAATTTTAATGAACTTTATACTATAATATTCTATACACTTGAACTTTTTGTTTAAGTTTGATAAATTTATCTGAAAGCCATTCAAAGAAAGAAATTATATTACCAGTTAGTTTTCCTAATTTAACATAACTTTCAATTGAAATAGCTGGTATAAAATTTGATGATTTGGAAATATTTATTGTAGAAATGGAATGTAATTTGAAAGTTTTATGTATTGATTCTATTTCGAAATATAGAGATTATATTGTTGCTGATCGATGAAAAGAATTGATTGTTAATTATTTATCGGAATTAGAGGAATGTTATTTGAAATGTCATCAAACACTTGAGTTTGAATCAGAATATTTAACAGATTTTCAATCTCCTCCTGATCAATCTAATTCATTATTTTCAAATGAATGAAAATGAATTTTGTTCGAAGTCATGTACTTGATTCGTTCATATAGGTACGTCGAGAAGAGTCTTTTATATTATCATGATTCTTCAGCTTGAATCTGTTGAATTTTGATGCATACCATCTAATGATTCTGGTTGCTCTATTCAATTAACCTCACCCTCACAATGGTGATGCATCGTTCTTGTTGCGTAACTTTTTATGTCAAATAAAAGTAAAAGACTTAATAAAGATTTTTACATGAGTACAACTTCAACAGACATGATATTGAATAATTAAATAAATTTGCACATGTTAAGCAGACAAGGAAAATCAATATGGTACATTCAAAGAGAACAAATGGATGTATCCATGGAATGCCCCCAGAATCATACAGCGACCAGACTCGATCTTCAGAGAGATACGGCTTAAATACTATTGATACATTTCATGTATTCTGCAATAAGGATGTGGATGTGGATGATTGTTGTTCACAGTAAAATGCCAACTTCCACACCCACATCTGACTCTAAAGAACTTCTATAACTAGTTGATGAATAAAAATCATTAAAAAAACATTTTATCTAACTTTGTTTTTATTTAATAGTTGATTATTCCAGATTAGAATGCAAAATGTTCTCATTTCGTCAACTGATAAATCAATAATAAAGGTTAAAATAAAATGAAAAAATACATTTAAAAAAGAAAAAAGTATTATGTGATGTGTGACAAGCATAAATATGTAGACAGATAACTAATGACAAGTTCACAGCAATACAGAATATGAAATTTCAAGAAGTTTTGTAGAGTTTTTCATTTGTAGAAGATTTTGCTTAGCTAATTTTTATTAATAAAATATGTTTGTAAAAGTGTTTTTTTCCATGTATCATCCTTTTCAAACCTGTTTTTTGTATGTTTAAACAAGAACATTTCCTTTTTCAATATTTCTTAGTACCTCTTTATTTACTAGATTTGTCAACATGTACCGAAGTCTCATGTTATAGCAATTCTGCTAATGCATCTTGATAATAAGTAAATTATGCAAATTTAGTTTCTTTCCAGTATTTTCCCTTGCAGTAGTATCTTTTTTCATTTACTTCATGTTTCATATTTAGAGAAGTATCGCATATCAGAATAACTTCTGTAGTATGTTCACTCTCATTTTCTTGATTTGCATGCCATAAATCAATTTCAATGGCTTTATTATTTAAACTTCTCTCAACTTCAATTGTATTTATAAAAAACACGTAGATTATCTGGTTTCATTTTCCATGGAGAACTTTACAACATTTGATATTTTCGACTGTTATCATTTCGATACTCAAGAAACTGAATATTGAATGAATTTGATCTAATACTGTGATCTTTCAGAATTTCTGTTATGACCTATATGGAGCATACGAAAGGTAGCAATTACTTGAGTTGTATAAGGCTGATGAATATAATTTTTTTTGATTTTCTGAAATTTCAGTTTGAAAATAAGACTGTGTTTTTAAACATCTCAGACAGCAACTATATGTGCTGTTAGGTGTGAAACTTTAATATCTGATATTATTGTATCTAATTGCATATGAACTTTTAGATTTTACCGATCTAAATATTGATAAACTTTATTAAAATCTTCGTATCATTGTTTTCACGGTTTATCGATAAATAGAATCAGCTTCTAGATTATTTAGCATAGAAGGGAAGGTAAAATTAATAAAATATCTGTTCAGAGTCTACGTTGAAAGCACTTTCTAATTGTATGTTCAAAAAATTTCTATTATTTCTTGCTTTTAAGGAATGAAGTGTGGACGTTCTTGTTTTCTTCAACCACATCCTCAAGATCATCTTCGTTTCAAAGCATCAATCTTATCATGAAATCAGTCAATTTTAAATGCTATTTGTCCACAATCAGCTAAAAATGATGTTCTTAATTTTGAAAATATTCATTTTTCCTATGTGTACATGATAATAGAAAAATTTTTCACATCTCACATTTTATATAATCATCCAATTTTCAGACAAGAGTTTTACAGAAACCTGTTGAGACTCATCGATGAAGTTACATATTCAAACTAACATCCTTCTTTGTCGTTATTTGTCTTTAATAAAATAATCGAGTGTAACGTTTTGTTAACAACTGTTAACTTTATCAGTGAAAACAGAAGATTTTAGATAGAAAATAAGAAAATAAAATGTATAATTTTAATTCAATTTTTTTCTCTTATCATTACAATTCAAAACATTTTCTTATGCTGTTCTGAATTTTCATTACTAATTCGATTGGCTTGGTTCTTGTTTTCTTGTCCTTACTCGTTCAATTCCTTGATTTAGTATTGAAAAATTTCATCGAATAGTTGAAAATCAGATATCATTCATGTTAGATTTCTATCGTTTATACTTTTTACCGTGTGAACATTCATTAAATTTGTTTGAATTTGATTTTCATTATAGTTAGAAACTTTTTATGTAGTTCGATAGTAAAATCAAATTCTTTTTCACATTTATTTGAAAGCATTCTTCTGTTTTTTTAAAGAATATTTCATCGGTAGTATTGTAGTATGGATATGAGTAATTATTTTTATAACGAATTGTAAACAGTTTTTATTGATTCAAAATATTCAAGAATATCGTACAAAGCTGAGTTTCAATAAAAACATGTTGTTGATTCTTCTATTTAATTGCATTTATACTTACAATATTCTCACATGCATAAAAATTCTGTTTGAAAGAATGAATTGAAAGTTGGAAAATTCCCATTTTGCTTCATACTGTAGAAACTTTGAATTAGTCAAGAATACAATCAGTTGTGTAAAGAATGAATCATTGTGAAAATTCGAATAAGAATGATGTATGCTTAAGAATACTTGCACACATGACTCAACAGTATTTTGAGAACAAAAATAATGTTCGACTGACAAAAAAAAGAGAAGCACATTTTTGCAAGGTAGGTTGTTGTTGTTGTTGTTGTTGTCTTTCTGGTGGGTGTTATTGCCGAACAAGCTTGTTACAAAAATAACAGAACGGAAGAAAAAAAATACACCAATACATCTTGAAGAGACAAATTTCGCAATAACGTCGACATCGTTTTTTATCGTAGCGATAATTGTCATTCGTCAAATTGCAAACTTACATATACACACACAACCGTCTTTTCAAAATCACATTTGGCCTATTCGGTAAACTAAAGTCTCGTGAAACAGATTCAACTGCTCATTCATCTTCAAACATTTTTAAGCATCCTACACAGTTATTATGTCGATCTTCGAACTTAGAAGAAATGTTTCAATCTCAACCAATAATCAATACCAAGAAGAATTCAACAGAAACCGATCTAACAAATACGGTAAGTTCTATATAAATTATAAGCTCATATGTGAGAGAATATTTTCTATTATTATCGACAGTAATTCTTAATTCTATATCATTTATTTTAGATACCCATCGGTCAAAATTCGTTGATCAATGCGTCGCCTACAAGTCTACTTTCTTCAAGTTCGTTGAAATCGATAGGATTCGAAGCTTCATTTGATGTAAATGTCAATAATTTATCAAGAAATTTGAATACTTGCGACGATGACAATTTTTTAAAAACATTTAATGATGATATTTTGAACGAATTTGAATCAGATACTTTCTCGATTGATCCAAACATCTTCGATCCTATTCAAGACCTACTCAGTTCTGATTTCGACATGTTCGAGAAACAATCAGATTCTGTATTACCACAACAAACTGAAGCTTCTGATATGAATACAATTAATTCTTATTTAACTCTTCCCATCATACGTGAAACTGATCATTCATTCGTATCATCGATAGATTCAACGTCGAACAATTCCGAAAGAGATCAATACATTCTACGAGATTCAATAGCGTGTGTTGACTCTATACAGGAATGGACTCGATTTGGCAATAAGAAAGTGCTCAAATATTCCGAAGAGTATCGTCAACGACGATTGAAGAACAATAGTGCCGTGAAAAGAGCCCGAGAAAAAGCTAAAGAGACAGAAAAAACAAAAGCTCTGAAGATATCCATGTTGATCGATGGAAAGCGACAACTGACTACTCGTGTAGATCAGCTCACCGAAGAATTAGAATCACTGAAATCATTGTATCAATCGCTTAATCGAGGTTTACCAACGATAAAACCTGACAATTCGTGTCGCACTATTCACGATGAGCAACGCATATAATAATGGCAACGGGAAATTTCGTTTCAATTTTTCTGTTCTCTTTTTCTCATGATTAATAAAACGAGGAATGTCTCTCTCTCTCTCACCATCTTTATTTATCACAGAAAGAAAGACAGATTATTTTGATGTCAGAGTAAAAGCACCTGATTGTGGCAGACAAAACATCAATTGCACTCATTTTGATTTATTGTAAACGAATTCGCTTTTACTATCTCTAAAGTTTATCTCACAGTCAGAGCATCTTTAATACATTGATCAAGACTTTTTATGAGAAATTTTTTTTTACATTCGTTCTATAATACACAGAGTCAGTTCTATATGGATTACCTCAATAGATTATAGATCGCATTAGTAGGTAATTCAAGATAAGTTCAGTAGTCATTACAAAAATTTTTCGACAGCGTATTCTATCATTTTCATAACAGTTTGGCCTTAGAAAAGTATCTACTAAATGAAGCAATTGTAGAAGTTTTTTAATGAAAAATTTTTATTCAAATGGAAACCTTCGAACAAAAAGAAAGATGTATACTCTTTATAATATCTTAAAGTAATAACATCGTAAACATATATACCATGAACGATATTACCATATAAATCTGTATGAATGTTTTTTAAGATCATTCAATTTAATAACATTATGTAGGGTGTGAGTGTACGTTCAGATATGACTGCAGAGCAGGTCTGAGCCGACACCCACACTCTAATTATTTAAATTTCAGACATTTTTTTTACATAAGTATCAAGATGAGAACGTTAGAGTCAGTGAACTGAAGATAAAGTTAAAAAAAGACTTGAATTTTCCTAAATTTTTTTTTTGAGTAGATCCTTTTTCAATAAAAAGTGTTGTACTAATTTGGAGCTCGTAATCCACCATCAGGTGACTTAATGATCAAACTTTCACAAAACATGCCTTTGAGAAATATTAAATTCAAACAACTAAGGTTTTGCTACTATACTACTCATTATTGAAGAGGGAGAGAGACAAAATGGACTCGTTTAAAACTTAATTACTACTCCTAAAATATTCAGCTTGCGTCACCCATGCTATCATAAATAATAATAAAAGTTGGAAAGACAATAGAGCAATATCAAGGTAATTCTCTAATCAAAAGACTGGGAAGAGAAAGATGAAAATTTGATGATGATTATTATGCTGTATGATATATCTATTGGTAGGTAATAGAGAATAGATAAAAAGGTTGAAGTTAACTATTAGATTGTTGCAATCGATAGACATAGTTTTTTCTATTAATCAAGGAAATGATAAGATTTTATTGATTGTATATACATGCATGTTTTATTAAAAGAATAAAAAGAAAAAAAGAAGGATATTAATAGTTATCAGGATAATCTTATTGATGCAAATGAAAAGAATTATTCGAGTATTATATGACTAATATTGAAGGTTAATTTTTTTTCATGATGAGACAGTAAAATTGCAAATTTTTATTCATAAGTCAATCATCATGTTATAGAATAGATGACGGAAAGTTTTGATTCTAGAGTAGACTCAACGGTTTTTTTAAATACGATCGCCAATTGAAAGTTACAAATGAGAGAAGATAGATCAGAAATAAATGCTCTTTTGAACAAATAGAAACATTTATATTCATCGAAATGTAACCCTCTAAAGAAGAGACACTGATCTGTTTTACCGAAAAATAAAAAAAAGATGTTGCATTATAACCACTTGATTGTTGGAAATACTTAATAGGTATGTAATCTTGGTCATCGAAGGCCAAGGAAAATTTTGGCAGATTGTAGATAGTTTGACTCAGATTTTTCATTTAGTTCTTCTTCACTTTTAATGAAGATTTTTGGTATCGATTCATGATCAATGTATGATTCAATATGTACTTGGCTAAAATTCAATATTTCCTCAAAAACATTTTCTAAATCTGCTTGATTAAGAAAATATTATTATTAATCGTCCAAGACGACAGTAAAAACTTTTAGTGTTTGTACAAAAAATGTAATGTATCGATCAAATCTATTAATTTGATAACAGAAGAAAAGCGTTTAAGCCTACCCTAGCCTATGAATCGCAGGCTCCGCAGCGGTCCTTCTTTTCTTTCTTTTTTTACTTTTCATATAAATAGGTTCTCAGAAAATTCTGAAAACTAGAGTACGACTGCGAGTGAGTGTGGGTGTTATCTTTGTTTTATCCATACGCACATCCACACCCACCCAGTTAATGAAAGGCAACATATTATATCTAACTGATGAAAAACGGGTGTGCTCTCGAGATATCTTATACGCCCTAGAGAGATTTATTGTCACCCTATTATTTACATCTTTATATCATATATTTATACGTGCAGGTGAGATATCACAATATAGCATCACAATGTTGTTCTATAGAAAGGTGTGTGTTGCCTTTCTTCTTACTTGTTTTGTTTTTGTTGCTGCTACAGACCATCATTCGAATGTTAATTGGGCTTTTAGGAATCGTCACGGTATAAAGGATGAACTATATCCTTGCAATTTAAGCATAGGCATCTCTAGGTCTTCAGATCCAATTCCAACTGTGACCATTACTCATTTGAATGTTTCAACTACAGTGTATGTTAGCATGGAACAAATTGAAGTGACTTGGACGCCAATATTAAATCCATGCCAAGATGATTTCATCGGTATCTATTTTGTAGAAACACCGATTCTTACAGGTATATATACTATTTATGTATGATTAGTCAGAAAAATGAACTGATCACATTAGTTACGATCAAAATGACTTCATTGTGATCGAAAGAAATAGCTAGAAGTCAGATTCGTCTCTATATTATAGTATTAACGTGCATCTTTTCTGTTTTCATCAGGTGCTTGTGATTATATTGGCTATGAGTTTGTGCAAAATCAGACTAGTGCATCATGGGAAATGGTCAATTTACGTCGACAACTTGAATTTCGCTATTACTCACGCGATCAGCATTGCTCTGGTAACTATTCGTTTGTCGCTAAATCACCCGTTATTCGACCCCTTAACTATAACGAACCAACACAGATCCATTTAGCATATGGTGATCAAATTGATCAAATGTTTGTGTCTTTTGTTACTAATTCAAGTGCTCATACACCACGATGTCAATATGGATTGAATCCATCGTCACTAGAATGGGAGGCTAATGGTACGACACTCACTTATACGGCATCGGACATGTGTGAAGGCAGAGCTACTGTATGGGGTCCACATAATTTCATCGATCCTGGCTTTATGCACACCATTTTACTCAGTAATCTTCAACCATCAACTACTTATTTCTATCGAGTCGGCACTGAAGAAGATGGCTGGTCGTCAGTATATTCATTTACCAATCGTCCGGCAAATGAAGATTCAGAAGTGATCCTCATTGCTTATGGTGACATGGGGTTGGCACCATTCGCATCAGGTGCTAAATCAACTATGGATCGAGTACGAGCACGAGTAATATCGACTAATATCACTTGTCTATTACATATTGGTGATATTAGTTATGCTATGGGTATTGCTATTTTGTGGGATGCATTCATGACTCAGATAGGACCGATCGCATCTCATGTACCATACATGGTCAGCATTGGAAATCACGAATATGATCATGTTACTGGCGGTGATAAAGATCCAAGTAGAGCACCAGGTCCCGGAGGATTTCGTCCGAAATGGTAAGTGACTTGTCATCGTTATAATCTATTCTCTTCTCTAAATTGTTGTATAAATCATATGATCGATATTTTTATCATTACATCGTCTTTTTTTAGGGGTGATTATGGTATTGATTCTGGTGGTGAATGTGCTGTTCCCATGGTACGTCGTTTTCACTCTCCATCCAATGGTAACAGTCTATTTTGGTACAGTTTTGATGTTGGTCCCATTCATTTTGTTATATATTCGAATGAACATGATTTTCATCGTGGATCACCACAATATATTTGGCTCGAACAAGATCTTCAAACAGTAAATCGTTCTCGTACACCTTGGCTTATTACTACTTCACATCGTCCCATGTATTCATCGCAAATAATTCCAAAACCTTATTTTATTATATTAATGTTACAATTATATTTAGAACCGTTATTTTACAAATATCATGTTGATATTAATCTTTATGCTCATATACATTCGTATGAGCGAACTTGTCCAATGTATCAACATAAATGTGTTGATGATGGTATTACACAAGTTTTAATTGGTATGGCTGGACAAGATTTAGTTTCTTATCCGTACACAGGTGCTGAATGGAGTATCTATCATGATGAAGAATATGGCTACACACAATTGTGGGCTAATCGAACCTTTTTGAAATTTACCTATTATCACGATACTGATGATGCTATCGCCGATGAATTTGTACTCAAGAAATGAAAAAAAGAGAGAGTTTTTTGATAACTGAATTGAAAGGATATTATATTTAATAATTGTTTTCATCCGTGTTGAAGATGTATCGATTATTAATACATAGATTTAAAAAGAAAAACAAGATGAAAGGTAATTTGTATCTAGAAGAGAAGAAATGTGAACAGAATCATTGATCTGCTATCACTACCAAACGAACGAAGAATTAAAACAGTATCATCTAGATTTAAAGATGTTTTTATCACGAGTAAATCTATATTTTCTATTAATTGATTCGAATCAATTCTGGCTAGTTAAGAAAGAGTTCGGCTAGAGGTAATCCAATCGCACATCAGTGAGTACAGAACTATAATTGAAAAGAAGGATTAAACAAATATATGACGGAAACAGAACAATCATAGATTTTGTCATTTCATATCGATCATTTTCGATTACATTTATCATATTACGATAATGAAAATCTCTTTTTTCCGACTATGCTCTATAAATAAAACAGTTGATTTGAAAATTTTCATCGAAAAAACAATTGTATAGAGCGATCTTGTTCCTCTACATTCGAAACAAAAATAGCACAAATATTATGCAAGCTTTGTCATTACTCGTTGAATTATATCTGGAACAATCGTAATAAACCAAATACCTTTTTGACCGTAATCTACTGCTTCAGCATTTGCGACTATACGCTATCATGAGTTGTCTAACTACGTTCTCTCATCTTGAACAGACGTGTAAACACATATGAAACGATCTATAACGGTTCACTATGATCTCGCTCATATCATTGGCAATTAATTAAACACTAATGACAATCAGAGCAATCCGGATGATCACAACTTCAGCTGTTTCTCCCTTGCTCATTATTGCATAGTTAAATGTTAATTGTTTTTCGTTTTTTTGAATAGTTCTTTGTACAGAATCGGCTTCTATTTTTATACATTAGTCTATTTATTAAATATGCAAAAGCAGTTTCTCCTCGCTTCAACATATATACTCATTGTAGGTGTAAGCATACTGCGAACTTGCAGTAGTGTAGAACTCGTTAAGTCGTAACGACTTTTCAACTATTCAACGACTTTTCAACTATTCGACTATTCAACAATTCAACAATTCAACTATTCAACTTTTCAACTATTCGACTATTCAACTGTTCGGGTGTGAGTGTGGGTGTCGTTTTCATTAACACGCACACCCACATTCACACCCCAACTATTGAATAGTTGAATAGGTGAATAGTTGATTAGTTGAATAGATGAATAGTTGAATAGATGAATAGTTGAATAGATGAACAGATGAATAGTTGAATAGATGAATAGTTGATTAGTTGAATAGATGAATAGGCGGATTTACGACTATTCAACTATCGAATAGATGAATAGTCGAATTTACGACTATTTAACTATAGAATAGATGAATAGTCGAATTTACGACTATTCAACTATTGAATAGATGAATAATTGAATAGTCGTAACGACTATTAGAGTTTTACATGTATGAAATAGATGTCAACAATAGTGTTCATGAACACACATAAAGCTCGTTGACTTCGGTATTCTTATATTTCATATTTTTGTTTTTTTTTCTAATAAAGCAGAAGACATTTCTATCATAATTGAAATCACTGGAGTTTTTTCCTATCGGTATCAGCACCCGTCTACTGTGCTGTTGGCTCAAACAGTGATAGTTTAGCAAACGTCACCTTATTCATGATAAAAAAAAACGTCGTCATTCTTTGTTTCACAATCGACTCAACCATACAGGTAGTTTGTTCTGAATAGTCATCGCTAAGCCAATATTTACATCAATTTCATTCGAAGTCGACTTCTTCAGTTGTTCTAACGTGCTAATTTCTTCGGATGTTGCACTACACACTGATGACGATAAACAATCTAAATCAACATTCTTGGAAATGAGTTGTTTCGTGCATAAGTCCTAAACAAATTCAAAAGTTGGTCGACAAAATCCATTGCTTTGGCAGTTTTACGTAAAGCAGATGGGTAAACCAAAGAGTGGATTGTAACCAAGTCTATTTTTGTTAGAATTTTGCAACTAGTATATGTTTTCAGCACTTTACCCAGTCTTTTGATCTTTATTGAGATATGTCTTGTTAGGTGGTATGATTCCTGTGCATTCTTTCTTTTCTTTCCTTCTCTTCTGACATAATCACATATGTATTTTCCATCTGTTTTCTTTCGTTCTGTTGACTATGTACACGCCACTTGCACAGTGGGGAGCTAAGCGGACATACACGCAAATATTCTTCTCCAAAATCTAACCATTTGGATAAACATATATATATATATATGATCTATCATTTTCTAAAATCACACCTCTCACAGTTTTACAGAACCTTAGAAAACGGCATGCCAAGACTGAATCTCATAAAGTCACATAAATAGAGAAAGTCAATTCGCTCGGCAATATGAAACAATATTGCACAAGCAAACAATTTTATAAAAGCTTCCTCATCGGTGGGCTTTATGTTAAAAAAATGATCCAAATTGAATTTGAAATAGAGTAGGAAATAAAGAATCTCGAGCCCCAATATCTATCTAAAAACTACAAAGGAATAACGTCCGATCGAGCTCAAATTATTACCAGATGTTCCTACATATGTATCCTACTTATGATAGTAGCGCAAACTTATGAAACCTTTCCTAAGCTATTTTACAGGATATTAAAAAACCCAAGATTCCTGGTCGGAAATCTGGTTTTAGCCAGCCATGTTACAATTTGAAGAGAAATTAAGGTTATATTCGTAACCAGCGCTTTAAAATACGTTGAATGATATAAAGTTCACACATGTTTTTCAAAAAAAATTTCTTTCAAAAAAATATAGTTGAGAAGATACCAGGCGTGGGTTCCCAGCAGAGCTGCCGTTTTTTGTTTTTTTTTTAACCCATGGGTAACCCAACCCATAGCCGGTAGTTGATTGGGTGGAAATCAGTTCAACTATTTTTTTTATTATTAACCCACGGGTTACAGGGTTGGGTTGAGCAGCTTAACCCTACCCATTGGGTAACCCATTGGATTAACCCTGGGTTTTATAATATTTGAATTTTTCATTAGGTATTATTAAGAGAAACGCAAGTTCAGATCCGCCTGCATTAATTGTTAATAAAATGAAAAATCATTTTATAGGATATATAATAATAGATATTATTTTTATTTTCATATGGATAAAAAGATAATCTTCACCGTGGTTAACATGATTAAAGAAATTAT